GATGGCAACCATACCTCCTTTGCTTCCTTTTTTTTTTTTTTCTCCTCAGGAAAAGCAAACTTCCAGAGTTTAGCCTTTTCCAGTTAGTGTGCAGTGAATATGACAACAAGGGGCTTGCTTAGAAATGAAGGAGAAAGCTGTTTTCTTGTAACTGTGAGTTATACTCCCATCCCTTAACAGTAATAACAAAGTATTCTTTGGTCACCTGTGTGTTAGAGTTCTCAATAAAACACGTATTGGTGATATTAAAATGTTGTGAATAAAGAGATTCCTCTTCTTCTGAATCAAAGTGTTGATTAAATGCAAATGCCAAGATAGAGATTACATTTACCAACACTGATACAGTTTGCCTTGCACTACATTAAGAGCGCATTTATGCAACTATAAAAATGTGTGAGGCTGGAAAAGGCCTATTGAGACGCCTGTCTATTGTAAAGAAAATGCCCATTAAAGAAAAATAGGGTGTGAAAAGTCACAGTTGAAAGAGAGTAGGGAAGTATATATGAATCTTATCAAGATGCAACAGATATTGAAGTGATGAAATTAACCAAACATAAGTACAAATTAAATCGCATCCAAGCTGTGGATTAAATAATGTAAAAAATCTGCTGAATTAAATCAGTTAAAAAATAAGGAAATAACAGTGCTTTGCCTTCTTTATGGCATCTTAAAAGGCATGTCAATCCAAATAAAGTGTTGACTGTAGCAAAGTTTCAGCTTGTTAGTAGGCACACAACAAATTAATCAAGAATGTCAACTGTCCTGCAAAGAACTCTATAATTCAGCAGCCTCCTCTTGCAGACTCTAGTCCATTTATTCTGCAAGATTATCATACTATCCTATCAACCATGAAAAGAGAAAAGGTGGTTTCAATAAGCTAAAAGAAGCTTCAGTAAAGCAACTGAAACCCCCGGCTGTCACCACAGGAGAATGAGAAAATGAATTTTTACATGTAAGCATCCACAAACTTAATTCCAAAGTTAGGCTTGAGGTTTTGCATTACTGTTTCTGAAGAGAAGCACAACTGTTGAATTTCATGGCATTTTAGAATAAGAAATTTTACTTTTTTGTGAGTGTGTTAACAGTAGAGATCTTGACTATTGGGGAAGGAAGGGAGATTGTTACCGTGTGCATTAGGATATTTTGGGGATTTTTTTTCATTCTTCCAACTCTATTGACTGAGCAGCTAACAACTGGAGTTATTAGCTGCATCTTTACACCTGTTTAACTGATACAGAGGAGGAGTTCCATTTGCTTTCAGAAGGCATAAATCATTGCTACATGTACGCAAATAATATATACGTGACTTTATGTGGGGAAGCCTCAGTTTAGTAAATGGATGAAACTTGGGAGAAGACTCAAGAAATGCTGAATCTTAAAGCCCTCCCTTTTTTCTGGACATAGGCTATGATAAAAGTCTCAATGTTATGGTCTTACAGAGCTCCTGCTTATGAAAAAGTTTTGCAAATGTGAGGCTCTTTCCAGATCCAGGCATATGCTGCAGTCATGGTTCTGATGATGTCTTTCAAAATGTACTTCATTCTTGTTATGGCAGCACAGAGGGACAGAGCCCTGGGCACACGGCTCTGGGTGTGGCACTGCACAAGCCTTTCAGTTCCTTTCTAGGATGTTCTATGTTTCTCATTGCAATGCAGCTTTTGGAGTGTTACTCCAGCCGTTCTCTTGTCATAGCAAAACTCATTTGGGACAGGTTTGATACTATGTTCATTCGGACAACAGAAATGAGCACAGCAATAACTTGTGATAGGTCAGCTCAAAATCACCACAGTGGCTTGCAAAGGTGGTAAGAGCTGTCTGAGACATGCACAGAATTGCATCTGTTGCCACAGAATAGAACTAGGTGGCTGTTGCTGGAGTGGAGTTTATACTGAGCATATTTCTGTTGAGATGTCATTCTTCCATGGGCACTGTAAATCCAGTGGTACCTTGTGGAATAATGTGTCATGAGTTGTCCCCTACACGGTAATGATGGAATATCACAGCAGCTTGGAACATTCTTAATATGCAAAATGTTGGCAAAGGGATTGGCCTTTTCATGCTGAGTGCTGCACCTAAACAATGTACACCCACTGCAGAGTGTCAGTGCTCCCCTGATAGCAAAGGATGAATGACAGGGTAGAAAGGAGTGCTCTCATTTGCACTGGGCTTAGAAATGTAGCATTGATAGCTTGTTGGAAGGAGGGGAAGTCATAGGGGATTTATGAAAAACATAGTCTAAGCCAATGTTGTTTGGATTCTTTTTGTTTAGGAGGAAAAAAAAAGTGGAAGGAGAGGAGAAAGGAAAAAAAGCAAATAATGTGAAAGAAAAGGTAATGCAACCTGAATTAAAACCAGACACAACGAAGTTTTGATGTGGCAACTTCTCATCTTGCAGAGATACTACTGAAGCTGCAATCCTCTTTGCTGTGATGGAGCCATTTAGGTCTCATTGTACTTTGCATATTACATGTCAGATTTTATAGCACTTGAGATTTCTTCTGTGAATTTTTCTGGTCTGTTTTTGTCTTCTGATTGTAGCCTTCTGTCTGTTTTTGGGGCCTATTTCAGTTGGTCTGTTTTACTATATTCTGGTTTCTTGTCTTTTCCCCTCTCCCTCCCTTGGCTGGGACTGGATCCCTTTCTGCATTCAGAGCATTTGCTCTTGGATTTCACAGGAAATTTTGTAACTTGTCCAATTCACCGGGTTTAGAGTTTTAATATTTTATATTACTATTTTTCTATTACTAAAATAACATCCAGAGGCACCCCAGCTGAGGTCAGGACCTCGCTGTACAAACTAAAGTAGGAGGCAAGCCTGCTCCCAAGTGCTTGGAGTGCAACTGACTAGTGTTTGGGTGCCTGCATAAATTGTGAGATTAATAGCTGCATATTTCTACAGGTTTTAGGCTAGGACGCCAAAGCACTTCTCAAACACAAATAAATTTAGCCTCCTTTCCTCTATGAAAGTCAGAGATTTGGTTCTGCAGTAACACTTTCCCCCTCTCTAATTCCCACACATGTACTTGTTACTGACATATATACGACTCTGGTCAATATAGGTGCTTAACTTTTTAAAGAGCCTGTGTAAGTCACTAAGTGCATATTGATTTGAAGCAAATGTAAATTAGAATTAATTTTGACTTGCTAACGTAGTCAAATAAGGAACATTTCTATTGATCTCTGTCCCAGAAGCCAATTATCTGGATTAAGTGTTTTTATTACGTGAACTGCAGAGTATAGTATATATCATTCTGCATTGATCAGCGCGAAATTGCATATTTAAGACAAGGACTGTAAGTAAGAGTAGTTAACAGGTGATTTATTTTTAAAAAGCATATCTTGTTTTATTTACCCCCTGCTCTTCCATGCTCAAATGCTGTGCTTATAACTACCACTGAATAAGAGGTTGTTGATGCATGTGGATCAACAGGGATTCTTGTTCGTATCATTTCCATTTTAGCTTCCTTCCCTTTCACTCTGCTTCATCACTCTTCCTTCTGCCTCCTCAGCCCCCTTATCTATATTTCCTACTCCTTAGCGTTGAGCAGTTCTTGCCATACTGTGCTCTGCATGAAAAAAAAATGCTTTCTACATTGAATAAATACATTGCAGCGATCGCTCCTGCAAGGGAGCAGTGCTCAGCATCGGGAGCGTTTACTAGCGCACGTACAGGTGATGGTTATAAAAAGTGTGCTGAATACGCACGACAGGGATGCTGTAGCCAGTGCTAGGGGTACGGGCGGCGCCGGCCCCTTTGCGGCCACTCTGCCGGGGCTCAGCAGGCGGCGGGGCCCGCAGCTTCCCCGCCGAGCCCCCGGGCTCGCCGGTGCCATCTCGGGAGCAGGATGCGGCCACGGCGCGCTGTTACCAGCCTGCGCTTGCGAGACGGCGACCTCCAGGAATCGCTCTTCCTCCCGTTATCCAAAGACTGACATTATCTGTATGTATCACTACAGCGGTCCGTTCCTCATCCCCGCAGCAACTTAATAATCTTGGTAACATCCTGCTCTCAACTCATTTTCTTGGCAGTAGTTTTAATTGCGTTTCGGGCTCCTGAATGAATTTGTTTTCTCTGGATCCTCGGTATATTGAGACGCTTGTCACGTTTGGGTGCCTGCAATCACTGATGCGTTTGTTTTAGGGGATGAATTAGTCTTCTGAGCCTGAGCATGTCCAATTTATGAATTAGATTTCATTGAAAGCTAGAACAAAACAAAACAAGAAAAGGTTCTGCTGTACCACTTTTCTTCCTCACCACCTCGTCCCCAGCGGGGGGATAAAAGCCTCGCATTTCCATTTCGCTCCTCAAACACGAACCATGTCCCGGGCTCGAGCGTGCGGAAGGAGGAAGGGGCATTCCCTCCGCCTCCCGCTTCGGCGCGGTGCCCCCGCGCAGCCCCCCGTCGCTGAAGTTGGAGGAGCGGCAGCGGGAGCAGCCCCACGCCCTTACCTGCGGGGGCGTCCCGCGGTGCCGGGCCGGGCGGACCCCGCGGAGCAACCCGAGCCCGGCAACCGGGAGCTGCCCACCCGCCTCGCATTCCTGCGCTTGGAGCGTCCGTCCCCTACCCTTTTCCTCGGGGAGACATACATTATATATAAAGATATACATATGTGTATATATATCTATGCTTATAATTCTGGCTGTATCTAAGTCTGTTCCGTGGCGGCCAGCTGCCCTGCTGCGGGCCCGGCCGGGCGCTCCCCGCAGCGCTGCGCGCTCGCCCCGGCTCGGCCCGTGCGCCCCGCTGCCCGCCCGCCGCGCCGTGCCCCGGCGGCACCGAGCGCCGAGGCTCCGCAGTCACGTGGCGCGGGGGGCGGGCGGCGGCGGCGGGGGGGCCGCTCCGCAGTTCGCGGTCTGCCGGCGCCCCGGCACACACCGAGCGCTGGAGGCTCCGCCGCGCCGCCTGCCAAGCCGGGATTTACCTCCGTGATTTTCTAGCCCCGGGGTTTTTTTTTGGTGTTTTTTTTTTTTTTTTTTTTTTTTTTCCTCCCCACCGCCCGTTTTCCTTAGTCTTGGAAAATTCTTGGGGCCCTGGGGGATTTTGGGATTTTTTTTTCTGAAAGGGGGGTGTCTGGGTATCTCCCTCCCGCGCCCGCTGCCTTGCTCCACCTGCCCTTGCGCCTTTTTTTTCTTTCCCCATCTCTCCACCAAACCCGGGCTGATGTGCTGTACGAGAGGCTGGAAATGGAAGTGTTGATGCTCTGGCTTTTTCCCTGGATATTTCAGTGCGTTTCGGTGCGGGCGGACTCCATCATCCACATTGGTAAGAGAGGGAGCGGGAGGGGGTTGGAGAGGGACGCGGTAGATAAATTAATATATAAAGGAAGCGTCTCGTTTAGCCTCGATAATGTCACGGGCAGCGGTGGAACCCAACTCCGCGGAGAGACAGGAGGACGGATGGGAGGAAGGCAGCTGTATTCCTCCCCCGACTTTAAAGTTAGGGGCGAAATGCCGCTTGTGCGCCGGGCCGGGAGCGGGCAGGGGACCCGCTGGGGCCGCCGCTGCGGTCTCCCATGTGGCTGGGGAGTCTGTGCTTGGACCTGTTTGCGTGGAAAGGCTTTCTTCCCCCCCCACCCCCCGCCTCCTCGCCACTGAAAACAAACAACCGCCCCCATCACCCGAGCAGGAGAGAGGCATAATCTGAACGTGCTCGCAGGGAAAACTTTCGGGGAGATAATCCCCTGGTTTCTATCCCCTTGGTGTCAACCAAGCCGGAATGCGGGGGGCGGAGGGGGGAACTTGGCTGGTAAAGGGTTAGAAAGGCGAGCTTTGCAGCGGCTGTGTGTGTGTGTGTCGATGCGCGCAACTGTTGTGGTTTGAATAAGATCTCATTAAAACCTCTGGGCAGCAAGAAGGCTGGATCAGTGGAAGAAAGAGAGGGATGAATAAGAGGCAAAGGAAAGGCTGATGTGAACTTTTATGGCTTCTGGGAGCAAGGCATGGTGATGTCCGCGGGAAGCCTGGCAAGCAAAAGCGAGGCTCTGCAGTCACCTTTTGGCTGGTGTTGAAAGGTACCAGCAGGAAAGAAAATGAGGATGTTTAGGGGCGGAGAGGGGGGAGAGAATCACTTGTGGAGGATGACAGAGGAGGAAACGGGACTATGTCCGGGAAATGAAAAGCCGTAATTTCCACCAGCCTTTCTGGGAGGATGGGATATCAGAAAAAGGAGGGGGCTGGGGTAGGAGCCATCCTGGCGAGAGAAGGATCCACGGAGACGGGAAGAAAGTCCCGTGTCGACCCGAGGCAGGGAAGGGGAGAAGGGGACTAGCCCTGTAACAAGTTTCCCGTCACGGACGGCTCCGGGGCCGGTGGGGAAGGCGGATCCGTTCGTCGCCGCTCGCCTCCGGAGCCTGGGGGCGCAGCCAAAGCAGACAGCATTGCAGAGCCATTAAGGAGATGGGGTCAGCCCTGACCGCAGCGGGGGACTCCGGCCCAGGGGCAGTCCCCCGTGGCACCGGGGTCAGCCCCGCGGGGAGAGAGGGAGGCGGCGAAGCCGCTTTGGGATGGGCCAGGATAGAAGAGTGGGTGAAGGAGCCGCCGCGGGTCTCATTCTCGGCCCCGCTTCTCTTGCGCGTGGACCGTGTCACCTCGGCTTCTCCCCCCACGAACTTCAGCCCCAGTGCTGTTTGCTAACTAAGTGCTGGCAGAAAGAGCGGTCTGCTGGGCAGGAGCGAGGAGCTGTTGTGTGCAGAGCTGTGATACACACGGGCAGTGCACACAGGCTCAAGCCACAGGCACGCACGGTGTGAATCAGCAGGACTTTTACAGGCTGGGGAATAATGTTTTTTTTCTGCTTGTTTTGTTGCCAGCTCTAAAAGATCTCCCAGCGCCGCGTAGAGCAGGGCAGTAAGCCTAGCGTGGGCACACACACGCTCCGTGGAGAGGGATTTTATGTAACACACATCGCCAGATGTTTTCACGTTAACTGCATAAGCAGGACAGTGAAATTAAAGCTTCCAGGTTACTGGACACAAATCCTGGCTTCACGTTCGTGTGTGCTTGTAAGCCTCAGTAAAACCGCGGCCCGAAAGGCAGCATCCCAGGGAGAGGCGAGCAGCGAGTAAAAAGTTGGTGGAGTTTCCAAGACTGCTCCCTTTCCCGTCACTGGCGAAGCAAATCCGTCACCCCGCCGTGGCTCTGGTTCAGAGCACCGTAAATGCCGGTGGAACAGAAGCGGCCGGGAGGAATGCTGCGCTTCCCCGTGCCTGGGACGAGGCCGCCCACATGTGTGTCCCGGCCCCATAGGCGCCCGGTCTCCCGGAGCTGCCCCACTCGGTGCCGGGCGAGCCGGCTTGAGCCCGGTACGGCCCAGAGCGGAGTGCGGGTCCTGGCGCGGCGGGCGGGCGGGCCGAGCCCTCCTCACCCTCTGCCGCCTTCCTCCCCTCAGGTGCCATTTTCGAAGGCAATGCTGCCAAGGACGACGAGGTGTTCAAGCAGGCGGTGTCGGATCTGAACCTCAATGACGACATTCTCCAGAGCGAGAAAATCACTTACTCCATCAAGCTCATAGAGGCCAACAACCCTTTCCATGCGGTGCAGGAAGGTGAGCGCCTCGGGCGGCACCCGCGGCGCCGGGGGGTGGGTACGTGGACGGGACGGGGCTGAGGGAGAATCGATCGTCCCGTCCCATCGGCGGGGAGGGGGCGCCGGTGACAGCCCGGACCTGTCCTGGCGCTCAGCTGGAAACTTAGCTTCGGTCGGGGGTTGGCGCTGTCATACAAGGAAAGGGGAGGGACGGCGCGGTGCGGCGGCGGCGGCGCCGTGCCCGGCCCAGCCCAGCCCAGTCCAGCCCAGCTGTGCCCAGCCCAGCCCAGCTGTGCCCAACCCAGCCCAGCTGTGCCCGGCCGTGCGCGCTAGGGCAGCTCAGGCCGGGGCGGCAGCCGCGCCGCGCAGGGACGGCCGGACAGGGCAGGACAGGGCAGCGCGGGGCATGGGGGGCTCCACGGCGCTCCTGGCTCCGCCGGTGCGGAGGGCAGGCCGGGCCACGGTCGCACCGCTGCCCCTGTGGCAGCCGCAGGGCCACGCGTGGACGGGGCGGGACAGGACACGCGAAGGGTCCCGCCCGCAGGGAGGGAGGCGGTGATGCGGCTCCGAGGGGCCGGGCAGGGGCTCGGCTCTGGCGGGAGCGGCCGCGAAGGTGCGGGCACAAGCCGGCACCTCTCCCCGAGCATCCAGGGAGGCAGGGCCGGGGCGGCAGCGAGAGCGTGGAGCTCCCTCGGGGGGCCGGGCAGGGGCTGAGGGAGCCGACTGAAAGCTTTCCCAGAGTTCGCAAGATCTGAAAAGTAGCTACGTTGGTAAATCATTCCAATTAGATTCCTTTTTTTGCAAAAGGGAAACGTTTAAATTAATCAGCTTGCCTTTACAAATAAGACTTTAAAAAGATATTATTTGTGATTTAATGAAGCGAAGGTTAATTATGGCCTAGGTTATTTAAGAAGCTGTGTTTTTCAGTAGTAATTATTCTAGAAACAGAGAGCTATTTATATATCCAGACTAGAATATTTAAAAAAAATGATTCATCACCAGCCTTACCCTTAGTTTTACAGAGCACAGCAAATCTTTCTCGATATGAAAATTTGCATTAATCCATATGTATTTATGTCTAAGTTGTGTACATGCAAATTATGGCTACAAAATTATACCAAATGTTAATTTTCATGAACTCTGAACAATTTCTTCTGCTCTCTTTTCCTCAGAGTATGTGCTAGTTAATATTATCAGGAGAAACAGCAATATGTGTCTTTTCAAGGGCCTCATCCCATTGACAGTAGGATTCCTTCAGCAACTCTGAAAACTTAGCAAGGTGATATGAAAAAAAATCTGTATGAAAATGGGAAGAAGGGGATTTGAAAACAAAATTCCACCCACATATTCATACACCAGAGGAAAACAAAAATCTCTAAATAATGGTGGGTTGATTTATTGGCAAAGAATGACTGAACAATTGGATCTTCTTCCATTTACAAAAACTCGGTGTCCTATATTGGAGCTTATTCATATTCATGGAAGTGACAGTAGTTGGCTGGCTGAACAATGGCTTTCAACAATGTCTCTTCTCAGAAGTAAAACTGTATGAAACTATTTTGAATGCCCAATGATCTGAGCTGGCAGTCTGGTGGATGGGGTCCCTTCTCAGTTTTGTTAAAAGCGGGAAAGCATGATCTAGTGGAGGATTCTTCTTGGTCTAGTAATACTTTTTTTTTTAAATTTACTTATTTGCTAACCTCGAAGATTGGGGTTGCATTTATAAAGACTTCTGTGAAAATAAATTCTCTTTGTTGAAATTCTGTGCTGCATCCAAGGAGAAGAGCCTGGTCAGATTTTCAACCACTATGGTACAGGAGCTTTGTGCTATCTGAATATATGTAAATAAAGATGTTTTCTACTGTCCCTGCCAAGATGGTCTTTCACTGCACATTGAAGTTCAAATTGCTCTTTGATGAACTGATTCCGAGCTGGAGAATTAAGGAAGTGGTTGATGATTCTTCACAATTCCAAAAAGTACTTGTTCTCTATCGCTGCTTCATTAAGGCACATCAAGGTGTCTTCTTTTGAGATAACTGCAGAATGATCCTTTCTGCAAGTAAAAGCTTGCCACAATAGGAGGCCTAAGAAAAGAGTACCTGACTTTGCTCAAGTTCCTGGCTTGCTTTGTTGGTTCAGGTCAGGTTTCTTTAAATTTAGGATTTAATTTCCTACCTTTGAAACTGTCATTCATGCAGCAGAATAATCCATGGGATGTACAAGTTGCTGGTCTGTTCTTACTGAGCAGTGTCTCATTGCCCCGTGTTACTTGGTTTTGTCATTGTATCTCACTGTATGGATGTCCTGCTCATTTTGGTAAAATACTGCATGTAGTAGTCAGAACAACCCAGAGCAAATCTGCTGCCCAGACTGCTCAGAGAATCTTGCTGCCGCTACAGAAAATGCCCTGACATCCACATTATTCTTCTGCAGCATCTTTCCAAGCAGTGCCATGGAAATCAATGTTGCAACCCTTAGCTTCAGAGGGATGGAACTTCTTTTACAAGTAAAAACCAATATGGAATAAAAATAGAACATTGTGATATCACCACTAGAATAGTTCACGCAAACAAATCACAAGTAGTGTTTTTATTTGAAGTGTCTTCTGCACAGTCTTATAAGGTGACATTGTAAATTATCCATAAGTCCTTTTAAAAGAGAACTTCAGAGGGACCTTAGTTTCAATGATATTGTGCAGGTAGAATTACAGAAAAACGTCATTCCACATAACAATGTTTATTATACAACAATGAAACTTTAATTACTGATAGAGATAGTTCTAGCATCTGTTTGTCCTGGCATTTACTGTGCAGTTAGAGAACATCTGCATGGGTAGGAAGCACAGAAGAGTAGTACCAGCAGGGTTTTCTTGGAGGAGCAAAGCATTCACAGAACTAAAGGCCAAACATGCTTTTCATACACAGTGCTGGGATGTGCTGAGAAGTATTGCTAGATTTTGGGGAAAATTAAAAAAAAAAAGTCTAGGGACTTTTCGATAGTGAGATAAGGGAACTATAGTGATAGTCTCTGGTGACTGAAATGGGTATATAAAATTCAGAGATACTTTTTCTTCAAAGACTTGGTGGACGCTCATGTTATTGTTTCCTTCTTTGTCTTTCATCTCAATGTATATTGCATCAACAAGATCCTGTTGTGCTGATAAGTAACGAGATTGTTTTGGTCCCATCAAACTCATTCTATATCAAAGTGTGGCAAATGGGTGCAAGGGAACTCCAGTGGCAGGGGATGAAATAGTAAAGAATGAACAGACCCTGGTGCATAAAATAGGCCTGTTTTGTCTGCCCCTGCAAGCATTTTGTAGAATATTGCTTTTGTGTATGTGGCAATTACTTGAGGGAAAAATTGTTTTCTCACTGATGGTTATGGGAGGAAATATACATGGGGAATCATTGTTCTTTTCATATGATTTAGAGAAATAAGCTCAAACCACAAATGTGAAGTTAAACTAGGTTCTCGCTTCCAAAAGAGCTATGTGCTCAGTTTTGGTTAAGTGATTGCAGTGTGAGCTTGTTTGTGTGAGGTGTGTATTTAAACTAGTACTGTAGTAAGCTTTTTGTGATTCAAGGATTCAAATAAGCTCAAAGCTAGGAGAAACTTTTAAGCTTTCAGTTCAAACTGAGATTTCTGAGCCTGTCATTGATGTTCAGAAGGCACTGCATGCATGATATATGGGTGGCAAACAGGTTTATGGATGGGCTTGAAAGTATGATGGCATGTTTAAACTAAAAAAAACCCAAACAAAACTGACCTGTAAGTTTTTAAAATGTTGCTTTCAAAGGGGGCACAGTTAGCTGTAGGTCAAAACTGGGGACACGAGAAAGCCAATACTTACTGTTTGTAGCACCCTTAGGAGAAGGGATCCAAAGGAGCCTGCTACTCAAACTGCAAAACTTGAAACCCCTTTTTCTCAGTGGATGATGCTTACACGTCTGTGGAGCTTTCCTGGAGCTGAAACTTGCTGTTCTCTCTGCATAGCAATTTCAAATGAATTGTTTCTAATTTGAGAGACCTTGTATGTGTGCTTGTTGATGTTAAAATGCTGTCAGTTCTGGAAACCAGAACAAATTTGGAAAATCGGAATGTGATTTGAGAGCAAGAATGGTGTTCCATAAATGGGTTTGTTGTTAGTCCCATACACACTGGTGTGGTATCAGAGTGGCTCAGAGCTGCTGAGTCTTTGGGTATCTGTTCTGTGTACCATTGAGTGAATGTGATCTGTTATCATAGTCTGTAGCACTTGGTAATGATATGTACTTGACATAAAATAGAATAGACAGAATAGACTGTTTCAGTTGGAAGTGACCTACAACAATATCTAGTCCAGCTGCCTGAATATTTCAGGGCTGACCAGAAGTTCAAGCATGTTGTTAAGATCAGTGTCCAAATGCCTCAACCACGGACAGGCTTGTGGCATCAAGCACCTCTCTAGAAGGGCTGTTCCGGTGTCTGACTCCTGTGGCACAGCTTTGAACCATTCCCACACATCATGTCACTGGATCTCAGGGAGAACACATCAGCACATGGCTCCTGATCTGTCTTGTCTCAGTGCATATATGTAATGTTACAACCACAGTTGCTTTCTACAGTTTTATTTGTTGAGAAGGTATAAGCTGATCAAGTAAGATGAAATACAGACCTGGAGAACCAGACTCAGCAGGTCCACTGCTATTTACATTTATTCATTAAATATTGCATGTACTAATTACTAGGGTTTTGTGGGTTTGGGTTTTTTGTTTGTTTGTTTGTTTTGTTAAAAAAAAATAACCCCAAGAAACAAGACTTTATTAATTTGTCTGCACTGTCTTGGGGAACTGGGTGCATAGGCAGAACTTGTAGGCTATACCTAGATTCCTAAAGTAAAGCATTAAAAAAAAAAATTCCTCTGCCAGAATTGCAAAGGACTGGTTTATATCGATCTACTGTCAGATTTTCTCCAGTGTTTTCTCTTGAGTCTTTCACTGTCTGGTAACTTTACCTTTACCTGCTCTTCTTCTATGC